GGGTGGGCTGCTTACCCATCAGCCAGGGCCCACACCATTCCAAAGAGGAGGGCAGGGAGCAGCATGGCGCCCTCACCCCCAGGGCACCTTTGGGGAACGTGAGGCTTGGGCTCAAGAGAGGCGATACTGCAGAGGGGGCACAGAGAGGCCAGCGGCGCTCTCTCCTGCCCCACGCGCCTCCCCGCAGCCCAGTGGCCAGTCCTGGGGGCTGGGGAGGCTTTATTCCAGTCTCATGCCCCAGGGCACCAGCTGCCCACAACCGGATTGGACCTGCCACACCAGCCCCTCAGAGGCCAGCTCTCCCTGGAAACAGTCTCCTTCCTGTCCCCTCCCAGTGCATCTGTTTCCGTGTGTGTGTGTGTTCACACTCTCAGGCACTACCACAAATTAACATGGGGCTCTGGGCAAGCCACCCTCCCTTTCTGGGCCTCAATTTCCTTCCCAGTAAAAATTTCAGGGACTTCCCAGGGATGCACAGATAGGACTCAGACTCCAGTAATCTTTGAAATTGTATGTGCACATTTTTCTGAAGACAGTTCTATAACTTTTATTAGATTCTCAAGAGGGCCATGACCCCATGAAAAGGTTAAGAGCTCCTGGGCTAAATGACCGATGGGGTCTTCCAGCCTTGAACTTCTGCCTGGATGGTGCTCCCCTGCCTCCCGCCCCTCTCTTGCCCAAACTCAGGAGTAGGGGGCAGTGAGCGGGAGCGCTTCCAAGGTAGCTGGGGATCCTGAGTGTGTGGAGATGGGTGGGGAAAATGTAAGGGTTCAGTTTCTTATTGTGACCATAAGAATGATTATGTGTGGCTGGTTGGGCCCACCCTGTCTCCTTCTTGGAGGGTCTCCTAGAATCTCTGGGGTCTAGAACTGGGAAGCCTATGCTGAGGAATGAGAGGACCCTCTGGAAGGAGTGGGCAGGGGAGCCAGCTCCCCCAGCCCTGGGGTAGAGAGCTAAGCCGGATGAAATAATCCGAGAGTCCGGCTGGGAGGGGCAGTGACAGGCTCCACAGGGGAATCCGGGGTCCATCCTGGTCCCAGCAGAGCTCCAAGCACACCCGGACACCGCGGCTGGAATGCAGCCTGGCTCCAATTCCACGCCCCTCGGTCTCCTAAACCTGATATCCCTCCCAGCATCCTGTAGTCATTCCACCTGGGGGAGGAAGGCGGCTGCTGAGAACCAGAGCTGGGCGGGACTCTCCTCCTGGGTTCACCATTGGTCTCGGGGCCAAAAAAGGGCCCAGAGTGAGTCTCTTAGGGGGTCACGGATGGCTGGGATCCACTCCCGCTCTGGAGTCCTTAGAAAGGGCCACATGCACACCCAGTCACCCCCCTTTCCTGTTTTACACACATGCACACTCTCACCGTCAGTCTCACAATGCTGGCACAGGTGCTCGGCCACACCCCAGCACGCACAGTGACACATGCTGCTCCAGGGGCTCCCTTCACCCTGGAGGCAGAGGAGCCTTCACAGCTGAGCTCGAGGGATGGGCGCTCTTCCAGGAACTCATCCTTGTGGTGTGCTGTGGTAGCAGGAGCTCAAGGACCATTCACACCCTCCCCTTCCCACCCTCTTTCTCAGCTCTGGATTCAAACCGGGGCTGATCAGGCAGCACTGAGATTGGGAAGAGACCCGAGCTGGAGCCACCCTTTCCAGTAAAGGGGCAGGAGGGAGGAAGCTGGAACCCAAGGGAGTTTGGAGAAAGTTCATGGAGAGGAGACCGGGATCTAACAGTCCAGACTTCAGCACCTCCAGAGCTTTCAGGAGTGGGCGCAGTGGGAACGAGGCCGAGGAGAAACCTCGTAACCTGGGCAGGGAGGGCGAGTGGAGTCCCCTGAGGAGCTGGGGCTGAGGGCTGCCCTCCACATCTAACTCCAGGTGGTGTCCGGGCCAGCAGGCACCCCAGCAATCGTCTCCCGCCCATAGAGCCCTCCCCTCTCTGCAGCCCCCTCCCAGGCCCTCCCACGGACCCCGCCCTCAGAGTCTCCGCCCAGCCTCGTCCCAGCCTCGCCCCCTGGAGCTCCAGACCCGGCCCGGCCTTCTCCCAGGGGACCTGGCTCAAAGTCCTCTTCCCAGTTTCTACTTCGAAAGACCCGTTCTCGCAGGCACAGGGGCCCAGCCCTCTCTCCCGTCTGCCCCCACGGCTGGTTTCGAATCCGGTCCTCGGGACTCCGGGCGAGGGGCTGTGGGTCTGGGTGGATCCGGGCGGAATCCGGGTGGAGAACGGGGGCGGGGCCAGAGTTTCCCAGGCCGACCCCCCCGTGCCGTCCTCCCGCGGGAACGCGGCGCTGCACACCCGGCTGGCACTCGCGACTCGCTGGCTCCCCCCCGACACGCCCCCTCCTCGTTCCCCCAACTCCTCCTCGCCCACCCCACCCGTTGGCGCTCCACCTTTCCCCGTCTCCTCCCTCCGCGGCCGCGAGCACCCTCCCTCGGCACCCTTCCCCGCAGCCCGAGTGCCCTTCCTCCCCAGCCTCCTCGCCCTCCTCCACCCGCTCTCCCATCACCCTCCCCACCCCTCCCCTCCCCCGTCCTGAGCTCCCACTTCCAGCACCTACTCCGGGCTCGGAGCCTTAAGACCATCACCTGCCCACCTAAGCCCGCAGTGATCCCTCCTGGGACCCCACTCCTAAAAACCCCTGCCCCTGCCTCCCCCAGCCCGGTGCGCCGAGTCTCTTCGCCCGCTCCGTCGGTCCCTCCTCCTTCGCGGGCGCCGTTTCCCGGCTCCAGCTCCCCGCGCGTCTATCCCTCTCCTCCCCGCGAAGTTTCGGGGCTGTCAGTCTGTCAGTCTTTCGGGCCGTCAGCACCCGAGCTGCAGGCGGCGAGCGCCATTGTGAGCAGAGCCGGCGGGGCAGGAGGCCCGGGCGCCTGGGTCCCCGCGGCGCGGGCAGAGTGGCTGGCCAGCCAGGTAAAGGCCGGGGAGACTCCGCTGCAGGCGGCCCCGCCCGCGTCTCCCTCAGCGCCGCGCTCGGGTCACCGCCGGCTCCGCGCAGGTGACAGCCCCGGAGGTAGGGGCGCGGACGGAGGGCGTGGGGGAGGGGCAGGGGTCGGGGGAGGTCGGGGGCTGGGGGAAAGGGAGGGCAAGGCCGGCGAGGGCCGGGTGAGGGCTGTGGGGGTAGAGGGGACCGGGGGACTGGAGGAAAGGGCGGGGGCTGGGAGTAGGTCGGGCGGGAAGCAGGTGGGAAGGGGCCGGCGGGCCCAGAGGGGAGGGGAGAGGGAGTGTGGGAGGGGGCCGAGGGGGAAGGGGAGGAAGAAGCGGGCGCAGGGGACCGGGCCGCTCGGGAGGGGCGGGAGAGGAGGGCGCTGACAGGTGAGCCCCGGAGCTGGGGAGGGGGCCGGGACCTGGAGTGAAGTCGGCGATCGGAGCTGCTTGGGACGGCGTTGGGGCAGGGAGGTGGAGCTGAGGGTCCCGTCGGGAGGAAAACTTGGGAGGGGTGAGGAGAAGTCCGAGGGGAGCAGAAATGGGGAGGGGGCGCCGCGGAGGAAGGGAGAGGCGCGGAGGGGTGTTCCGAGGAGAGGCGGGGTGGGGAGGGCAGGGCCCGCGGGAAGGTCCCGAGCGAGCGGGTCAGTCCTAGACCCCCAGGCTTGCGGGCCAGAGGACCCGGGAGCCGGGGAGCGGCCTGGGAGGGGGGAGGGGAAGAGCGGTTCTGGGGACTGGGGACGGGGAGGGAAGCGAAGCTGGAGCCTGCTGGGGAGAGAGAGGGGGAAGGGAGGCGGGGGCCTCGGAGGGGAAGGAGAGCTGCAGAAGGGAGGGAGACGTGGGGGAGGGCTGGAAAGGGGGAGGGGAAGGGAACCGAGGTGAGGCGAGGAAAGGAGAAGGAAGGGAAACCGCGGTGGGGGAGGAGAGGAGGGAGGGGAGGAGAGAACGGGGTTGGGGAAAAGAGCTGAGAGGAGGAGGGCGGGTGTTGGGGAGGAAGGAAAAGAGGAGGGGGAAAGGAAGGGAGAGGGTGTGCAGCCAGGGAGGGAGATGGAGCGGGGGAGAACCGGGAGGGCAGGGAAAGGCAGCCCGGAGTCTGGGAGGGGGAGGGGAGCGCTGCCGCCGAGGCAGCCTAGAGCGGAGGGTCAGGGGAGGCGGTGGCAGTGGAGGGCCGACCCCGAGGGGGCCTCGAGGGGTTGGCCCTGCCGGGCGCGGGCGGGCGGAGCCTGAGGGGCGGGGCCGGAGGCGGAGCCGGGGCGCCGGCCCGATTCGCCGGGAGAGAGGGCGGAAGGCAGGGGGAGCGGGAGGGGCGGGGCAGAGGGAAGGCTGCCGGGGAGATGGGGGAGGGGAGTCTGCTGGGGGAAGGGCGGGGGAGCCGCGGGAGGCGGAGCAGGGAAGGGGCAGCAGGGGCGGTGTCCGGGCCTTGGGCAGCAGCCCCGCGCGGGTGAGAGGTGGTTTTGTGGTAGGGGTTTAGGGAGAGGCAGTCATTTTCTACCTATAAGAGGACCCTCTCGAGGACCTCCCCAAGCAGCACCCCTAAAGTGACACTCGCTCCCGTCCCAGGGCTGGCTCCTATTTCACCAGCTCGGGCAGTGACAGCTGGAGGGCCTAGGAGATGCAGTTTCCCACCCCCCACCCTGGGCTCCCACCCTCAAGCCTCTCTCCAGAGAATCGAATCTTTACTGCACTTCCCCAGGCAAGGACACTGGGGCGTGGAGTTGCGGTGCTGATGGGCCAGGGCTGGCGGTGAGAGACCTGCCAGGTGAGGGGGTGGCGTGGCTGGTTTCCAGAGCTGACAGAAATGGTTTCAAGGCCTTCTTGGGCCACCTTCAAAGATCTCTTGGCTTTCTGAAATCCAGTTTCCCTAACATCCCCCAGTACCTGGAGATGTTACCTTTGGAGCTCCTGGAAGAGCCCATAGGGAGAGGTTGGGCAGAACCAGGGCCCAGGTGGAAGCTGGCATGGGAAAAATCTGAACAAGGCTGTCTTTTCTCCATAGGGTCTGTGGCCGATCCCCAGGAGGAGCTACTCTGGGTTACCATGAGAGAGACCTTGGAGGCCCTCAGCTCCCTGGGTGAGCTGGCAGAAATGAAGGGACTTGGGGAAAAGTTTAGGAGGATTCAGGAGCATCTACAACTCAGACAGCAGAGCCACCCTCAGGAGGCTGCAACCCTGAGGCCCCAGGGGCCTGTAGGGCAACCTGCTTTTCTGTAGCGTGGGGTGTCTGAATGCCTGGACCATAGTAGAGGCTGCGCTCCAAACCGTATGCACACTTGAGCACTCACAGAGCACAGTCATATTTACATCTATGCTATCTCTTCCTTCTGTCCTTTTTGACTCAACTCAAAGGGACTGAGGTTGATACCTGTCCATGTCCATGCTGGTGAGAGACCCTGTCCTTCCTGAGCAGGTTGGGAAAAGTCTCTTGGACAGGCTGGGAAGGGGAAGAGCCCCCGCCTCTGATTACTTGTTCTGTACTGGATGCTTTACTTGGACCCACCCTTCTGCCTGTAACAGGATTCTCTGTGGGACAGCCAGAGATGGTCCCCCAAAGTGAGCCCAGGGAAGGATCCCATAATGTCCAGGAGCAGATGTCCTCTTCTAGGGAAGAGAGAGCACTAGGGGTGTGCTCAGGTAGGTAACAGGAACCATGGAGAGGCTCAGGGAGGAGTCTGCCTGCTTTCCTCCTGCCCTCCCTACCTTCGTCCCTTCGTCCCTTCTTCCCTCCCTCCTTCCTCCCTCCCTCCCACCCTCCCTTCCTTCCTTCCCTTCATCAAATATTTATTGAGCACCTACTATGTGCGGGATGCTATTCTAAACATTTGGAATACTTCAGTGACCAAATAGCCAAAGATCCCTACCTGCAAGAACTTAATCCTAATGAGTGCAGCGAGTCAGCAAACAATAAGTAAGGAAATTTATAAACTACGTTCAAAGATGATAAGAGCTCTGGGAGAGAGGATAATGTCTGGTGAAGTGGGTTGACGGGGGGTGGGGGCCAAGACTGCTGCCAGTGAGGGTGGGTGGGGCATGTTATAGGATTAAATAGGGTGGCGAGACTGGGTTTCTTTGGGAAGGTAAGATTTGTGTAGGATTTGAAGGAGCTGGGGGAAGCCGGGCATGGTGGCTCATGCCTGTATTCTCAGCCCTTTGGGAGGCCAAGGTGGAAGGATTGCTTGAGCCTAGTTCGAGACTAGCCTGGGCAACATGGCGAGACCCTGTCTCCACAAAAAAATTAAAAATTAGCCGGATGTGGTGGCTCATGCCTGTGTTCCCAGCTACTTGGGAGGCTGGGGCAGTAGGATCCCTTGAAGCCCAGGCTGCAGTGAGGTATGGTCATACCACTGCACTCCAGCCTGGGTGACAGAGAGGACCTTTCTCTTGAAAAATAAAAGAGGTGAAGGAGACAGCTCAGCAGATTGGGGAAAAGTGCTTCAGGCAGGAGTACAGCCAGAACAGAGCACTAAGGCAGGAATGTGCCTGACCTTTGACATCCTGGTTCTCCCCAGCGATTTGCTTGGAACCAGGGTCCATGTGGGGGCTGGGAAAGCCCCAGCCCTTCTCCTAGGGGCCTTCCTTGCTTCCACTGTCTTACATACACGTATTCCAGAAGCTCCTCACAGTGGTGGCTCTTGTGACCTTGTGGTCCATCTCATACATACCCTTAGCAGCTGCCCTGCTTGAAGGAGTCTGAGGCAGCCCCTGGGAAGCCAGGAACTCAGCCCCTGAATTCTGGTAGGATGTGGGAGGAACCCTGTGGGCCCTGCTGGAGCCAGGGTTTCAAATGTTCCTTCTTCCCAGCACCAGTGGGGCCCTTTGGCCATCTGTGATGTCTCCAGAGTCCTTGAGGTATCCTATTCTCTGCCAGGGCACAAGGCCCCCACAGCGGAGGAAGGTGCCCGCACAGAACAAGCCGAGGCTCCCTGCAGAGGCCAGGCGTGCACAGCACAGAAGGCTCAGCCTGTGGGCGCCTGCCCAGGTGAGTCTTCCTGTCACTTCATCCCACCATGGGCTCAGGCCAAGGGAACGGGGCCCAGCAAGCTCTGGAGCTGCTATCTCATGAGGCAGGTAATGCCCGAAGACAGGCAGTCCAGGCCCTTCCAACCCAAGTTGAGTCCAGCACCTTTCTGTTGTGGAGCTTCGGTGCTGAAAGGGAATTTCACATCTGTAGATGGCAGGAGTCAGACAGGCTGGTCACCAAAGAGAAACACAGCCTCCCCTCAAATGCCTTCTAGAAATCCTGCCTCCCCCTCTTTATTTCCCCCAGTCTATGTCTAATTACAGTTGCCATGAAGATACATGGCTTTGATCAACCTTTTCACTGCCTCTCCCCTGACATGCCGCCTTCCCCAGCTTCCTCTGATGGTGAGGGTACCCAGATGCTCCACATCTGCTGTATTCAACTCATCTCCTCACACCCAGGGTGATCAAACTGCTCATTCTCTCTCAACAATCCCACCATTACTTCCTTCCACTACCACCATCCTTATTACCTTTTGCCTGAGGAATATCATTTATTCTGCAAGGATTTATTGAGCACCTACTACATACAGGCTGTGTTAAGTATAGGGGAAAGAGATGAACCGTAGAGTTACCTGGGCATGGTTTGAATCTTTGCTCTGCATTTACTAGCTGAGTGTCCTTGGATAGGCCACCTTGACTCCAGGAGCTTTGGTTTGTGAAGGTTTGTGACAGTGTGTTTACACTACCTCATCTACAGTTGGTCCTCAATAAGCGGCAGCAGTCCCCATTTTTATCAGACACATAAAAACACCTTTGTTATTAGACACAAAAGAAATGGAACACAAAATGTCTGCACCCCAGAAGATAAAATCTGGTTGAAATGACCTTAATATGAGCCAGAACAAAGAATTAAAAGAATAGTATAAAGGCAAGTCACAAATAAGTACAAAAGTGTTAACAGTAAGTGCTATAGGAGTTTATGCTAAAAGATCCACATGCATTGGGAATTTGTCAAAAAAAAACATTAATTTGTGCTGCATTTTGAGAAAGGTGTAAACTTCAGTTCTGAAAGGGTTGGGGTGGAGGATGGGAAGACGTTCTAGGGTGAGAAGATCTTGAAGCAGGAAAGGGGAAGAGAGCAGCTTGGCTGAAGTGGAAGGTCCATGCCTGGGAGAAAGAAAGTTGGACTTGGGTGGGGTGAGCCTCAGATACAGCTGGAACCTGTTTTATCTTCAAATAATAGGGTGCTGGGCTGGGCACTGTGGCTCATGCCTGTAATCCCAGTGACTCAGAAAGCTGGGGTGGGAGAATTGCTTGAGGCTAGGATTTCAAGACCAGCCTGGGCAACACAGTGAGACTCCATCGCTGAAAAAATAAGAACTATCAGCTGGGCATGGTGATGCACACCTGTAGTCGCAGCTGCTTGAGGGGCTGAGGTAAGAGGATCACTTGAGCCCAGGAGTTTGAGGCTGCAGTGAGACACTATCATCCCATTGCACTCCAGCCTGAGAGACAGAGCAAGACCCTGACTCAATTAAAAATAAATAGGAGCTATTGATGGTTCTTGAGTAGAAAAGTGAAGCGTGCCACAATGAAGGTGAAAGCAGTATCACAGTATGATAAGTAGACAGGAGTGTGGAGTCAGTGAACTGATAGAAGAAACTGGGAGTACCTCTGATTGTGGAAGTCCATGTGTGATAGAATCAAGGCTCAGGCCAGACAGGAACTCAAATTATCTGATTCAGTGATTCACAAATGAGAGTCACTTTGGGAGCTTTAAAGATGGAACACATTCGTGGGCCTTGCCCCCATTTGTGCATTTTCTCAAAGTTCCCCAGGAGCTGATGATGCAAAACAGGCATAAGAGCTTTAAACTACTCCAACTCTTAGACAAAGGGAAAACTTTCTTAGCGGACTAAGAAACATAACTCAAAGAGGTTAAGTGACTGAACCAAAGTCACACTCCTAGTTAGTGACAGAGGAGAACCTAAATTGGACCCTCTCGTCTGGACCCCGGACTCCTTCCTCTTGGCTGGACCACTGCAGCACCCGAGAGGGGCAACACTCCAGTGGAATCCCCTGCAACCTGCCCTTAGGCTGAGGCTCCCCCAGAGGGCCCTCCTTGCTTCTCCAGAGCCAGTGTTCACTAGTTCCCCAGACCCTGTAAACTCCATCCTGGTCTTCCTAAATGCTGATTTCCCCTCCAGCTGTCCAGCAGGAAAGAAGGGAGTAGCAGGAGTACGAGGGCACCCTGGTTCCTTGGCCACTAGAGGTAAGGTGGGCTGGGGGTGGGGGTTAGAGAGCAAGAGAATCACCCCAGGTGAGATGTCAAAGATCAAGTTTTCAAGGCCACCAGGGAAGGAGGCTCTAGTCCTAAGGTTAAAGTCAGCCAGGGCTCAGTTTGGGAAGGTCAGGTGTGTGGTGAGAAAGCTGCTAAGCCGCGGCCAGTTTGCAGTACCAAGGAGAGCTGCTGGACCGGAGATGGAGACTGAGGTCCCAGAAAGGCACTGCTGGAGCAGGAAGATCTGGGCCAGCCACCAAAGGGATGTGAACCTGGAGCGAAGCAGGAGGACTGAAGCTTGGGCAACCTTCCTCTTCAGGGGTGCCGGAGGGCTCCTGGGCACATCCAGGCCGGGGAAGAAGCCCCCGGGAGGGGTGTGGTGTTCACACGCATCACAGGCTTCCGAGAGTGCAGGAGGCCTGAGAAAAGCTGCGGATTTGGTCACTCTCAGGAACCGTTAGGTAGAGTGGAGAGCAGAGCCAGACCGCAGGGCTCCAGCAAGTGGAGATCCTGTGGTTAAATAAACGTGGCCGCACGTGGAGCTCAATAGACAATTCTTGTTTTGACCTTTCAGGAGACGAGTGGATGATTCGGAAGGTGAAGGTGGAGGATGAGGATCAGGAGGCAGAAGAGGAGGTCGAATGGCCCCAGCATCTATCGTTACTTCCCAGCCCCTTTCCTGCGCCTGACCTGGGGCATCTGGCTGCCGCTTACAAACTGGAGCCAGGGGCCCCGGGGGCACTGAGTGGGCTTGCGCTGTCCGGGTGGGCTCCGATGCCCGAGAAGCCCTACGGCTGTGGGGAGTGTGAGCGGCGCTTCCGGGATCAGCTGACGTTGCGACTGCACCAGCGGCTGCACCGGGGCGAGGGTCCCTGCGCCTGCCCGGACTGCGGCCGCAGCTTCACGCAGCGCGCCCACATGCTGCTGCATCAGCGCAGCCACCGCGGGGAGCGGCCTTTCCCGTGCTCCGAGTGCGACAAGCGCTTCAGCAAGAAGGCCCACCTGACCCGCCACCTGCGCACGCACACGGGCGAGCGGCCCTACCCGTGCGCGGAGTGCGGCAAGCGCTTCAGCCAGAAGATCCACCTGGGCTCGCACCAGAAGACCCACACTGGCGAGCGGCCCTTCCCCTGCACAGAATGCGAGAAGCGCTTTCGCAAGAAGACGCACTTGATTCGGCACCAGCGCATCCACACTGGCGAGAGACCCTACCAGTGCGCGCAGTGCGCACGCAGCTTCACGCATAAGCAGCACTTGGTGCGGCACCAAAGGGTGCACGAGGCGGCCGGCCCGGCCAGGCCCTCTCCCGACGCGTCCGCTTCTCCTCATTCCACTGCCCCGTCCCCCACCCCACCCCCTCCCGGGCCAAAGCCTTTCGCCTGCTCCGACTGCGGCTTGAGCTTCGGCTGGAAAAAGAACCTCGCCACGCACCAGTGTCTGCACCGCAGCGAGGGTCGCCCCTACGGGTGCAACGAGTGCGCACTGGGCGCCACCGTGGATCCCCCCGCCGCCGAGCCCCTGGCCAGCGCGCCTGGCGGACCGGGCTGCGGCCCAGGATCCGATCCTGTGGCGCCCCAGCGCGCCCCCTCGGGCGAGCGGTCCTTTTTCTGCCCGGACTGCGGGCGCGGCTTCGCCCATGGGCAGCACCTGGCGCGGCACCGGCGCGTGCACACGGGCGAACGGCCCTTCGCCTGCACGCAGTGTGACCGCCGCTTCGGCTCGCGGCCCAATCTGGTCGCCCACTCCAGGGCCCACAGCGGCGCCAGGCCTTTCGCCTGCGCTCAGTGCGGCCGCCGCTTCAGCCGCAAGTCGCACCTGGGCCGCCACCAGGCGGTGCACACGGGCAGCCGCCCCCACGCCTGCGCCGTCTGCGCCCGCAGCTTCAGCTCCAAAACCAACCTAGTCCGCCACCAGGCGATCCACACAGGCTCCCGCCCCTTCTCCTGCCCACAGTGCGGAAAGAGCTTCAGTCGCAAGACCCACCTGGTGCGGCACCAGCTCATTCACGGCGAAGCCGCTCATGCAGCCCCGGACGCCGCCCTCGCGGCCCCAGCCTGGTCCCCTCCCCCAGAGGTGGCGCCGCCCCCGCTCTTTTTTTGAGCCTAGTTCTCACCAGGACCCTTTCTTGCCTACAGTTTCGAGAGGCCCGTGCCATGAGACCGCCTGGCGTGAGCACGGTGGCCTGGGCAGCTGTCCGAAGATTTGGCCTCCGCGGGACCCCTGTTTCCTTCCCGCAGTGTCTGCGTCCGCACAGGATACCCAGCTTGGACCTCCTAGGAGAGAAATGCGAGCGAACCCTTGCTGGGAACAGTTGAGGCTGAAGTTCTTGGAAGGCTCCCACCCAGGTGCCCCGCTGGAAAGCAGATATTTCCTGGACCCAGCGCGGCCTCAACCAGGGCGGGAAAAGAGTGATTATTTAAGTACTTAAAGTTTCATTAAAATTAAAATCAGAAAGTTCTGGAGCTGTTAAATGAGTTGGGGGAGGGAACCCTGACTCTCCTTAGCCACTGTCCCAACTCCATCCACGCGCAGACCACCCCTCTCCACTTGCCCTTCTGTCCTGGGTGAGTTACGTTTAGCTAGCTGCTGTTAATTGGTTCTCCCAAATCAAAATGTAATATATTTATTCACCAAACAACCACCCTGGCTCCTGCTTCTAGCTCGGAAGTATAAGGAAGGAACATTAGGGTGCATTTCACTCACGCCACGTGTCACAGACTGGAGCTGAAGGAGGCAGGCCGTCCTTTGGCGTGGGCTTGGGAGCTCTGTGCGGTCTCTGCAGCTCTCCCCGGGGATTCGGAGCTGGGTGGCCTGAGGAAGGAGGTGGCACATCCACTGCAGATGAAGGTTGCTTTCACATCGCGCTTGCAACAAGTCCTTTCTTGAGGCTGCTGGGTCCAGAAGTCTCTGTATTGCCCTTCTTCAGCCTAGGCAGGTAAGAGAGCTAGGGCTGCCTGGCCATGAGGGGGGAGGGCAGGATAATGGGGAGCCTATGGGGCTTGCAGTGAGTAGTCTTGGGTTTGACCCTCCTCTGCCTCTCGTCGGACTTGGAGCGCAGCATTATTCATTTCCCAGTGAGCGGGATGAGAGGCAGAGCAGTGGCCTGAGAGATGGAAGGGCCTTTCACACCTGTGAAGGAGTTTAGACTGTGTCCAAGAGAGGGGGAACCATGGCAAGGTTAGACAGGGCAGGAACAGGGCCACGCTTACAGTCCTGCATTTTGGAAGGATGTTTGGCAAGACAACTCAGGAGCGAGACTGGAGGCCTGGGCATCAGTTGTCCTGGTGACAGGTGGTGGTGACCTGGGACCATAGTTGTGTCAGAGGAAACAGAGAAGTGATGGATTCAAGAGACACTTAATAGGCAGAGGACACAGGACCTGTTGACTAGTGTGGGTGGGGGAATCAATGAGCTTGGCCCGATTTCTGCTTGCCACTGACTGGATGACAGTGGCATACTCCCAGAAGGGAGATGCGGTGTTGGGGACAGTTCGTGCTGGGGGAGCAGTCCTGCATCTGCTGAGTTGCGAGCAGTGCCTGCCCAGCAGAAAGGAGGCTGTGTGGGTGGAGAGCTAAGAAGAGGGCCGGGATGCAGACATAGAGCTGAGAATTTTCCACATGTGCTTCTGGAGCTATGGGGGAGTGGATGATCTTCCCAAAGAACTGAGTGTGGAGTGAGAAATTGGGGGCCTGGGACAGAAGCCTCTGGGACACCAACATTAGGGGATGGCACTGAGAGAGGCCTGTAAACAAGATTGGAAAGTGGAGGTGCAAGAACTGGACAGGAAAGCCCCAGGTGGAGGTGACAGAGGAGCTGAGGAAAGACATGCTTCAGAGAGGAGGAGGCCACTGGAGGCTAGAGAGAGGTCACCTAGGCAAAGGACTTCCAAACCCTTTGGATTTCGCTGCAAGGCAAATCCAGATCTCGGTGAGAGCAGCATCAGGAGCAGCTGGGTCAGAAATCAGATCACAATGGTGAACTACAAAAGCAAAATCCCAGAGAAGGTAGGAGACAATGAGACCTGGACGCAAGTGAGGGAGGGGCGTTGGCTGAGAAGCCTGTCAGAGGAGGCATGAATGCAAATGTGTTTATGAGTTTCATGGCCACAATGAGTCGGTGACTCCAAGTTATTTTAAATATCTTGAAATGTCACGTAAAAATCTGGACTTCCAGCTTCTGTTGTGAAAAAAGCAAAAGGTTTAGCAACTGGTGGCTGGAGCTGAGTGGAAGTTGGCCTCTTTGGCCTAAGGGATCAGAGTCCTCAGCACTCCCCCTCATCCTAAAGCCCAACTGGGCTTCTCTGAGGTTCCCTACCCAGCCTCTTAGGCACAGAGCTTGTGATTCCAGCTAAAAAAAAGTCATTTCACAGACTTTTAAAATCAAACACATAAAAACAATGTTTGTGTTGGTTAGACCAATGTTTTCCTTTCTTGAAACATTCTGGAATTCTCGTGTAAGAACAGCTTTTAGATCTTACAGCATATTTGGTGAGGCCTACCATGTGCCAGACGTTTTCAGGATTTCACATTATTTTAAAGATTCTCTACAAGGCATGAATATCTTTGTCCTTATTTTTTAGCTTGTTTGCAAATAGTCAAAATTTGTTTAGCATCCAGTCTGGCAGTAGCCAACTCAGAAGACGTCTGCTCAACAAATGCACCGTGACTGTGATGGAAGACTGAGGTTTCTAAAGGCTCTTCCCAAGGAAGAGTTCTAGACTCAGAAAGTGATGGCCTCACTAAAATCAATATCTACCATCACCACCCCTATGTCACCCCAGGTCTGAGCTACCCCAGGTATAACTACCTTGATAAGGCACCAGACTTTTGACTTTAGGACCACATCCTGGTATGTGAAAATGCTCAGAGAAGTAAAGCACTCATTTACTAATTCTATATCTAGAAGAGAAAGGTTTTATTAGTCAGCTAAAATTTACTTACTTCTCCCCAATCCTGTTCAAAAAAAGAGACTTACTGTATAACGGGTATTGAGTACCTAGTATGTGCTCAGAATGTGCCAGTCCCTGTGAATAGCACAGAGACGTCAAGCACATGCCACCTGTCCGTAAGGAACCTGCGGTCTGACTGGAGATGAGACATCAATGTTCATGAAGCAGAGAATCTAAGTGCTAGGTGGCATTCTGCGGGCTCTAAAGACCTGAGGGGACAGAGAAAGCTCTGGAGAGGAGGTGGGGCTGAACATGGAGCTGCATGGACAGGCTTCTTGGATGGCTGGGGGAGGAGGAGAGAGAAGGCTTCAACCTCCCCTTCTTACAACATATTTCTTCCTAGAGTCTCTGTCCTCCCAACTCTTATCTACCCCTAGTCAGCGGCCCCTCCTCCTTCTCTAATCTGTATGGAGTCTGTGCTTCCCAATCTTTAAAATTTTTTTTTATTGTGGTAAAACATAAATAAAAAACATAAACAACATGAAATTTACTCTTTTAACCATGTTTAAGTGTACAGTTCAGTGGCTTAAGCACCCTCACAATATTGCGTCACCATTACCACTGTCTATATCCAGGACTTTTTCATCATCCCAAACAGAAACTGTTCCCAGTCTTTTTAATGGGATGGCATTTAGGTAAGGATAATGTTAGGGTCACTGGGGAGCCCACTCAAGGCCTGTGGCGATGGCTGGGGCTGCCCCAGCCCCACACCTGGTGGTCCTGATAGCTGAGGGAGTGACCTCCATATCCTTGGAATTCCCAGCACATTGGAGATTTCTGTTCCATGTCACAGACCCGAATTCTTGTTTGTGAGGGAGATGGGACATATTCACTTGTCACAAGAATGATAATATCCAAGTTCCCTGGATTGTGATGGTTAATAGAGAGAAGAAACACCGTGGAGCCCTTAACCCCACCAGGCATCAACCTAGCGATGCCTCTGTCTTTTTCATGGCTTACCCTTTATCAGAGCCCTCAGTTCTCACCCTACCTCCACCCCATCTCAAAAGTTTGAGCTTTTGAGCTCAAACTATCTCATTCCAGAATTTTCGGCAGCTGTTGACTCAGATGATCTTTACACGCTTGTGTCCAGTTAACGCTTCATCTTCCTCTCAGTCCTTTCAGTGGGTTCCTATCTCCTCCCTCCACTGCTAATCTATCCCAGTCTTAGAACCTCCAACTGATAGATACCTGAGACCGGGAGAATGTTTTTTGTTTTGTTTGGTTTGGTTTGGTTTGGTTTTTTTTCTTTTTTTTTTTGAGACGGAGTCTCACTCTGTCACCCAAGCTGGAGTGGCACGATCTCTGCTCACTGCCACTTCTGCCTCCCGGGTTCAAGTGATTCTCCTGCCTCAGCCTCCCAAATAGCTGGGATTACAGGCGCACACCACCACACCTGGCTAAATTTTGTATTTTTAGTAGAGACAGGATTTCACCATGTTGGTCAGGCTGGCCTCAAACTCCTGACCTCATGATCCACCCGCCTCGGCCTCCCAAAATGTTGGGATTATAGGCGTGAGCCACCACGCCCAGCTGACCTGGGGAATCTTAAATGGAACCCAGTCCACAGTCACTCTGATGACAATCTTGCTGGGAGGAGGTGGAGAAAGACAAAGAACAGGACCGCCCTCCCGCAGGAGAGGTTAGGTGCCCAAGAGAAGAGCAGAACAGTGGTTAGCGGGCAGGGTTTCTCAAGCCTAACCCCAAGACTCAGCTCCTTACAGCATGAGCACCAACTAACAAGTACCCAGTGCATCCAAGCGCTTAGTTCCCAAGTTGCTGCTGCCTTTTCAATTTGAGGAGCAGGGGACATGGTCAGTAAACAGCCAATGTGCCACACAGCCAGTGTATTGCTTTATATTGGAAGATTCTCAGGAGCCTGGACTGTTCCTCTTGTCCATGCTGGGGAAATGAAATTAATCATCAAGACTGGGTTTGGCAGGGTGGAGTCAGAGCAAAGTGAAGTGAGGATACTAAAGCCATTTATACTTCATTCAGGCTTTAGCGAAGCCTGCCTACCACAGGACTAGAGTAAGACACGAGAATCTTTTGTGCAGCCCGGCCTCCTGTATCTTCTCCCTCTCCATCTGCAGGGTTGGACAACAAGAGCTGCTAGTAGAGAGATCTGGAGATGTTCCCCAGGCTTGACTGCCTCAGGCATCCAGGGTGAGTCCGGCATTTTAATCCCCCATAAACATTGGCTGAGCTTTAAAATCTACCCAGGCTTGTGCAAACATGGTCAGAATAGAATGACAGCTCTTGCCCTCGTGGAGTTGATAGTTCAGATGTAAGGCAAGTTTAAGGATCACTCAAGGTCCTGGGAGCTGGGAGCTTTGGGAGACTCACGAGAAGTAAATATCACGCATGGTTCCTGACCCGCAAACCTAACCCGTAGCTGGAAGAGAATGCTGGAGTTTCATGACACGCCTAAAACTCAACCCAGGTATAGTATCCTATTCTTCATGAGAGGGCGTGGGCTGGAGCAGTCAGGGGGTTTCTGAGGGAGGAGGGTCCTGGTTGAGTTTTGACTGGAGCTGGGACTGGAACAGACAAAGAGGAGGTGGAGGAACAAGAGATCCATGCAAGACAATGCAAGACAAAAGTGCAACTAAGTGCTCAACTATGCTGGTCGCAGGAGGTCAGCTATTTGCAATACTAAGTTAGTGGTGAGAAGGGGTCATCT